ATATATATATACATCTAAAAAACAAAAAAAGAAAGATTATTATCGGAAAAGATTTTAGATACATATTGAAATCAGAATTTGGAAAAATGATAGAAGTTTTTAAAGAAGTTTAAAAAGAATTTTTTAGAAGAATGTAAGAGAAAAAGGCGGTGCTTTTGGTAAGAAAAAAAAAATATATATATATATATATATATATTTGGGGGTTGCAAATTTGAAAAAATTGTAGACCTTATAAATTCCACTGTCGTTCGTCCGTCTGTCTGTCTTTAATGTCGAGAATAGAGTTAGATAGATGATAGGCATTATTCTATTGCTAACAGGAAAAGTATGATGTACAGGAGCAAGACATTACTAATTTCAGGTGTACAGCGTGTATTTTAAGTTAGATAAGATTAAAAATTGATGCTCAAATTATGATTAATTTTTGTATGAATTTTTTGGAAGAAAGAAGAGAGAACAGGAGAAATAAAGTGTAATTTTTTTGATAAATTTAGAAATGAAAAAATGTTGGAGTGACAAATTTTGGAAAAATTTTTTAGAAGTGAAGAGAGAGGGAGATTGGATTTTTTTTAAGAATGAATGTATTGTTTTCCAAAAACTTTGCTAAATTTTGTATAAAATTTTTAGAAGAAAAAGGGTGAAAGAAGTAATAAATCACTAGCCTTTTACCCTCATTCTTCCAAAAAATCATTGGTCTTTTACCCTCTTTCTTCTAAAAAACTACTGGCTTTTCACTCAAGGCTAGTGATTTTTTGGAAGAAAAGGGTGAAAGACCAATGATTTTTTGGAAGAAAAGGGTGAAAGACCAATGATTTTTTGGAAGAAAAGGGTGAAAGACCAATGATTTTTTGGAAGAAAAGGGTGAAAGACCAATGATTTTTTGGAAGAAAAGGGTGAATGACCAATGATTTTTTGGAAGAAAAGGGTGAAAGACCAATGATTTTTTTTGGAAAAAAAGAGTGAAAGACAAGTGATCTTTTAGAAGAAAGAGAGTGAAAAACCAATTATTTTTTTAGAAGAAAGAGGGTGAAAGACTAGAGAATTTTTGGAGAAACGAAGGTAATTTTTTGATCAAATTTTGTATAAATTTAACAAAAGACATTCGGAAAAGAAAGAAAAAAGTAAAGTAACCATTTGGCCAATATTTACGACAGTACTTGGAAGAGATCAACTTTTGTCCGGAAATTCCAAACGGACTTGGAATAACTTCTCACTAATCCAATAGTTGGGATGTGTGCTCTTAATCTTTCGTTCACCCCCTGCACATTTTCTATGTTAGCATTAAACCTAGTGAATCTTATTGCATGGTTGAACTGGAAACTCATCCTCATCCAACCATCCCTCTCTCTCTCTCTCTACTTCAACTTCTATGACTGATTCGATGGAATTAGTGATGTGACTCTTGATTCTGCTTCTCAAACGAAATTTACTGCTTCCACTATGCACACTAATGCAATTAACCGTACGTTTAGGAAACAAAAAAAATCGAATAAAATCATCAAAAAATACCACCTCGTTCTATCCTGATGCGGATTTTACCTACGCATCAATGAACGGAAAAGTTTTTGGAAAAATTGTTCAAATTTTCATCTAAAAATCTGTTTTCTTCGCACGTTTATGGACTGCAATTCTGAAGTTTCTTATGTTAACGTTTTTATAGCCTCGTATAAAATTTACGTTCTTTAAACGTTATAAACGTTGATAATATATCTCGACACTACGAATCGTATCCTATATATTACCAAAAAACGTTATAAACGTACCTCGTAAACGTATGAAATGTTGTAAATATGTGTATGAAGATGCTAATAAACGTTGCAAACGTACACTACATAATATAACTGTAAATGTTACAAACGTTAGTCATATAATTCAATAAAAACGTTGCAAACGTACCCTACAAGACTTGTCTCTAGCATCTCAAATAACAATATAAAATGCCTGATAAACTTGTAAACGTAACCGAAAAACGTTTAACATGACAAATACTTTTCCAGCATCCAAAACGAAAAGGGAAGAGGTAGAGCAGCAGCAGCAGCATCAACATCATCATCTATTATCGAATACTTTTCCAAACAATCATATTGGTTTGAATGTTTGTCCAACAATACAAATCGAATCGATCAGACAAACGGACGTATTGTTCGAACCGTACAGGGAACATACAACATAAAAGTGTAACAAAATTTGATGGATAACAATATCGATCATCGATTTCTCATACATTTTACCACCAATAACACAATTTAATTTATATATATATATATATATATTTTGGGGGGATTTTTAGAAGATTTTTTAGTGGGAGAGGGAAGATTTTTTTTAGGAAATCATCTAAAAAATTTATTTATAGAAAGTTTATCTTTAAAGAAAGTTCATCCCACGAGTGTACAAAATATCTTCAAACGTTTTACGCATGGGACATTGACCTCGCTTCACTGTCAAACTGGTTAGATAGTGGGTTAAGAATTTGTGCTCCTGACTACAACATCGGGGGGGGGGGTGTTATCTTTAGCATTTTCTAGTCGACCTTCTGTTCAATCTGATTATCATTTTGGAAATTGTCCAAGATTGAAAACCATTGAAAAGCACGGAAATCGGTTAACGTCTTCTATCCATCGATAGATTTTTGTAAAAGATGAAAAAGAAAAGAAGGAGAAAGTGGGGAGAAGAAGAAGAAGAAGAGGAGGAGGAAGAGGAGGAAAAAAAATATATATATATATATAACTAGAATCTGTACCTCATAAACCAATATGGTGCTCGATAGAGCATAAGATTGAAATAAGACACCATATGGCACCGTCCGGAAACTATTGATAGTTGTAAAGACAATATAAACTCTTAATACAGTGAAATGTCTTCTTGCGTTTTATTTTTGTTTTTGCATATTTGAGAAAGTTTCTAGTGTCGTGAATAATTGAAGAATTGTTCCTTTTTTCCCCCTTTTCTTTCTTATTGAATTTTTACACGTTCTTTCTGTATTGGAATGAGTTTTGAATACGTTTGTACACGTGTATACGTATTCTGTAAATATATGTGTATACGAGCTCTTCGTTTTGCTGATAATTCTTTGATATTTTTGAGTATTTTTTTTAATGCTGTAAATACGATTATGAGAATATATTTTGTGTACGGTTATTCGAGTATTCTGCCGGTTAATCGGGAGTTTAACTATAGAATTCGCATTGTTTTGCTTATTAGTCACGTTAATAGTTGCAGAATATGTTCTATTTTGAGATGTTTTGTACACCCTTTATGCACTAAATACACGTTTTACATACATTTATACACACTTATTCGTGTATTCTGCGAATTAATCGAGGGATTAAACGTGTACACAATTGCAAAATATATCGTTTTTACCTATTACTTCCTTCATTTTACTTTCTCTTTACGTGTTAAAATAATATAATTTAAACACAATTATACACGTGTATAAGGACGTTTAAGAGACACGTGTATAAACACGTGTTCAAACTGAACTTTATGTAATCAATTTCAATCAGAATTGACGTAAGAAAAATAATCATTTTCTCATTTAAAATTGTTTAAAATTTAAAAAAAAAATGAGAAAAAAATACTTTAAAATTATTTTTTCTTTATTTAATATCAAAGAAATTTTAAAAAGTTTTAGAAAAATAATAATCTAAATCTAAAAAAAATTGTATCACAATTAAATTTGATGAAATTCTAATCAAAATTTTTATAAAAATGGTCTGTTTTTAGACGTTGCCTCACAACAGAAATGAATAGAAAACATTAATGTAATTATTACCTTAAAGTGTAAGGTATAAGCAATTAAATACCTTAAATGTGAGTTATGTTACAATGTATAATGCCTTAATTTTAAGGTAATTAAAGTCGACATATAGTATCAACGTTAATTATCTTAAAACGTAGGGTATATATATTATAAATACTTAAAATGTTACGCTAAATAACTAGAAAATATTACTCATGCATATAGTAATACTTTAAAATGTATTAGTTAATTGTGCAAAACTTTAGGATATACTCGCTGTTTTGCCTAAAATCATGCAAAAATGAGGGATATATTCGCTGTTTTGCCTAAAATCATGGAAAAATAAGGGATATATTCTCTATAAGTGCCTAAAATCATGCATAAATAGAAGATATGCTCGCCGTAAATACTCAAATTAATTTAAAAATGTGGGATATACATACCGCATGCATTTAAAATTAGGCAAAATTCACGATAAATACAATATAAGTATGCAAAAGTGTTTTAAAGAATTAATAAAATTAAAAAGAAACTTAAATGATATAAAGATATAAAAAATCAATTGGATAATAATATACTATATATATATATATATATAGAACTAATTTTTTTGGAAAAATTGATCTCATTTTTTTCCCTTCGGGGACTAAATTTAGACAGTGATTGATGATTGCCACTAAATTTATGCATTCTATTCGCCAACAGAAGGCCCCCCCACACACACCCCACTGTATATTTCTTACACTTCAAACCTATTCAATCGAATTACACTTCAAACTTGGAGGTTTTTCTAGAGTTTCCTCCCCCTAAAAAATTTTTTAGCTCTTTATCTAAAAAAATTAAATAAATATGATCGAATTTCAAATGCAAAATCCGCCATTTAATATTTATCAATTGTACTAATTCCAATTTGGGGGGGTGGAAATACGTGCCGTTTCTACCAGCGTGACGACGATAGACTGGTATGACGTAAGAGTGTAAGACCTTACTTTATAAAGGTATTTCTTCCCTATTTTAGGGGGCTGGCTGGTAATTTTTTAATATTTTTTTAAGTATTTACGGTATACAGTACGGATATTTGACGTAAACAGGAAGAGGGAGAGGGCGAGTGACGTGTTTACCGACGTTATAAGAGCGGGTTGATGCCGGGTGACGTAGCTCGTCCACGTGATCATGCAGTAGGAAGGTACGATAACGAGACCGGAAGCGTGCACACTGCGCCAACGGCGTAAAGAGGGCGCAGCGGCATAGCGGCGGACGTCACGTCAATCCCGTGATGACGTGCGAGAGAGTGGAGGCGCCGTTGACACAGGGCTATGGATGCCATGTCGTTTTAACAGTAGTGATGCGGACCGTGTGGATACCATGCCTGATAGGTAACTTCCGGTGAGAAGATTACGATCCCGCGCCCAAGAATGCAACAAATCACAAATGTAAGATGCTATTACGTGTCCCGGTGATGATTCCCCGCCGCGTGCGGGTGACGTGTATGTTGTGTGAGTGCGGTGCCTAAGAAAAATTCCCGTGTGGGGTGATTATGGCGCTGGAGAGAAAACGCTCGAGCCGTAGGCAAGCCGGAAGGCAAAGAAAGAGGCCAAACGAAAACAGATGTAAGACGTGTTGCCGTAAATTTACGGCCTTCATGTTCTCTCACGTAGGCCTTTGCGCCCTGGTTATTGCATACAGCATCATGGGGGCATTCGCCTTTCGTGCTCTGGAGAAGCCACACGAAGAGAAGAAGGATAACGAAGTCAGGCAGATGAGAGACGAAACAGTTAAGAAATTGTGGGACATCACACTAGAGCTCAACGTCCTGTACAAGGAGAACTGGACGAAATTAGTCACACACGAGATTCGCACCTTCCAAACTAAACTGGTCAGAGAGATTAAGAAGGGTTACGATGGCAACGAAGCAGAAGCTACTGCACAATGGTCTTTCTCTGGAGCATTCCTTTACTCTTTGACTGTTATCACTACCATAGGTGAGTACGTGTCTACCCCTTTTTCCCCCTTAAAAAGCGTTAACAATTGACAAATGAGGCAAGAATCGCGTGATGAATATCGTTGGCATTTTCGATTTCCATTAAGAGTTTTTTTCCCTCTCTTCTTCCTTAATCGTGGCGAATTAATGGAAAATTTCGCTCCCTTCTTATGCTTTCTGTCCATTTTCCATTATGCTAAAAATCTATTCTCTCTCTCTCTCTCTCTTCTGTCATATTAACAATGTAGGCAATTGTTTTCTTCTATTGCTTTATCCAATTCAAAGGTGAGAAAATGTATTTATTTATTTATTTTTTTTAATAGTCTGGCAGTGGGGTGTGCAGAAATCTATTTTCTTGACGATCTGTGCGTGAAATAATATTAAAATATAATTTTCTCCGTTCCTAATCTTTCCGTATGTTAATTTTATCGCGTAGATTCTTGCGTAGTGTGGTGTAGAACTGTATAAAAATAAGACTCTCGTAGGGTAAATACAGTTTTGCACGGATTAAAGCATGAAAAAATGCATTTTTTTACAGTTAGAGCGTGCAAAAACTCCGATTAGAACGAGTAAAAATATACTTTACCATAGATTAGATGGGGTAAATCTCATTTCTTCCGCGTGTTAAAGCGTACAAAGCAGCATTTTTTCTGTTAATTGCGGGGCGTATAACACGTTTCCGGTGTACAAAACCTTGTAAAAAAACACCCAATTCTAATAATTAGAGCATTCAGAAACACATTTTATAACAGAGAAACGCGAATTTATCTAACTTTTCCATTAAGAAAACAGTATAAAAATCACCCCTCGTCCTCGTATTCTTCCATACAACACCTATAATTTATAGGAGGGAACGTTATGTATATTTAAAGAGGGTCGATTTTATATTACGTTATAGAAACATTTAAGTAAAAGTGGGGAGAAGATAAAGTAAGAGATCGTGGTGAGTAAGGTAATGATGGCGCTAAAGACGTTCGTATGTCTGCCAATGTATTCCCTATCCTCACGACAACCATCATCGTTTCTGGATGCAGACGTTTGTTCTCGATCCTCCGGATTTTCTGGATGCTGCAGATTACTCGTTCGAAACGAGTAAAAAATACGAAGATTTGCAGCACACATTCGAAGAAAATCGTTATTCCGAAAGGAACCTTTCACCTTTTCCATTGTAAAAAAATGCATTTTCTTTTTTTTTGCAGGGAAATTGCTGGTTTTAATTAATTAAATATTGCATTTTTACACGATGTGAGCGGGTTTGAGCCGGATTTTTCCTTCTCTGGACGAGTTAATTTGCATTTTTTTAACGATTTGGAAGCTGCAGTTTTTAGACGAAAGGTCAATTTATTAACTGAAGGCGAAATTTGCGCCTTTTTTTATACGATAAATGTCAGTTTTTAGATGAAAAAATTGAATTTTTTGAAGCGAATTTGCGTTTTTAGAATGAAGATAAATTTGCGATTTTTTTTCTTCTAAAAAATCGCAAATTTATCTCGTCTAAAATATTCAATTTTTAGATGAGAATAAGTTCGTAGTTTTTAGATATAAGTTTGAAAGAATATTATTTATTTTTTTTTGCTTTATTTCAGAATATAATCTGCATTTTTTAGGTAAAATTTTTGCTTTTTTTAGATTAAAAAATCGGCTCAAATTATAAAATTTTACTATATTTCTTGAATATTTTTGCTTTTTTTTATGTTTCTTAGGTATTTTTTTAAACTTATCAGTTAATATTATGGGCTAAGTTATCAGTTTTAAAGCCAAAATTCGCTCGGTTACAGTCTAAGTGGCAGCATTTGTTTAATTATAATAAAATAAATAGCCTAAACATTTAAAAAATTCAAAAAGTTTGCATTTTTGGAATAATTTTAAGTATTTTACACAAGATTTTATTAATTTTACACAGTTTAAGATAGCAGAATCCTTCATTTTTATGTCTATATATGCATTAACTTTAACATCATTTTCCGCATAATTTCGATAAATTTTAATGTTATATATCATGCAGAATTATTCTAAAAAGATATTTGACTAATTAAAAAAGGATTATAAATCAAATTAACGCTTATAAAGTCAAAAAATATCATTTGCACTCTTCTTAAGAGAGAAGATAACTGGTGATAAAAACATAAATAAATCATCATAATCTACGAAAAATATAATTTCTTTAAATCGAGTCTCATAATTAGACGCTAATTACTTTTTATTAATGTTTTCTCATCTTTCTTTCTCCTTTATTACGTTTAAAAAGTCGTTTTTTTTCCTCTGATTTTTCCCATTTCTCTCCAATATCCTTTGTTTGCTCTTCCGCATCCTTTCTACTTTCCAGCATCCTCCTTGCGCAAAAATGTTATGATCAATGAAAAATAATTAATTGAATCATCGTCATCCACGTTTTAAGTGCGAAATTATAAAATTTAATCACTTCATTAATATACTAAACACGAATGAAATGCAACAATTCACCATCTTTGATATGAACTAACAATTAAAATTTACTTTAGAAGATTATAAAAGTTGAAAGTATTTATTGTTCGATTGCTTTAATCTACTGAATGCATTTATCACAATAAACAAGGTTTTAACCGCTTTAATTAAATTGTTTAATCGTAAAAATCGAATTAATTGTTGTAATTTTATAACCTTTTACTACAACTCGACCATTTTGATTGATGAATATAAATATTAATAACGTGAAATGAACTCGGAGATGATGAGGATGCGGTGGAAGAAACTTTAAAAAATCGAATTTTTTTTAATATTTCTTTTGTTACAAACGACTGTAAATTAATTATTTAAACAGTTTCCTAAGTTTATAAATGGTTAATTCTTATATATTTAATTAATTAATATCACAATCGCAACAACTAACTCGATAAGATGAATGCTTGTAGATCGTCTTCAATATTTAAGGATGCTGTTTCTCCTTTTTTTTTCTTCCTCCTTCAATAACTTGGATGATAGGATCATTTCTGACATCATAACTAAAAAAGTGTGGAATTTAACGATATCTTCTCCTTTTATTAACCTTTATAAATCTAAATTAAGGTTATTTTGATGGTTATACTATTGAATAATTGAAGAATAAGTTGATAGAAGTTGGAAGTGAGTCGGCAGTTTGTATAAATAATCAATGTTATTGCTCATCTTATTGCTGATATTACAGAAACACGTAACAAAATAAAGTCAATTATAAGAATATAAGTTATTTTATAAATATTTTTCGCTTTTATAATGCTTATATTATGACTCCAGATGCTCACGTTTGGTCCTAAGATGGAGCATTAGTGGTGTGAATCTTTGTAGTTTGTTCCTAGCTCGCACCAGGCCTTATAAAATAAATGTTCTAAGTATATTATATTCTTTACATTTACATGAATATCGTCTTCTATTATCATAAAATACGAAAGAAACAACGTTATTTAGCATTATCTATTAATAAAATTGATTCGGGACGTTCATCTTGAGTTTTATAACAGGTTCCTATAATTTAGACGTTCATATTAGGTTTATTAACTCATTTTTGGCAGTTCAAAATAGTTTATTTGGTTCAGAATATTCTATATCGTGTTTCCTAGATGGATGAATATCTTCCACATCCTCACACGCATTCTCTATTCCCTTCATCCTCCGCATCCCTCTATCCTCTGCATCCTCCGCATCCTCACAGACATCATAGATAAACATTTATATATATATTTAATACGTTAGTTATAAATTTAACACCACATATAAGTGTCCATAATTGAATACGAGTGATATTTATGAACGTTTAACTAAAATATTCATGAAAAAAAAAATCGAAGAATTTAATAAATGAATAAATATTGCGGATTGGTTAGTAGATCAATTTGTAAAGAGAAGATTAAATTATTTAAATTATCAGCAGAAAATGGAAGATAATTGAACCAATTGACGTGGTTAATCTCAGATAATCCGAGTGATGTTCTTTGCTTGGTTATTACACAAACAGAATTTAACTCATTCGTTTGCCACTTGGATGAATGATGTCGTAAAGATTTCACATTCGCTTATTTTCTAGGGATTTACTTGACTTTCGTAATTCGTTGCTTCTTCTCTGGATTAATGAATTTTGACTCTGGATTTATTAAGCGAGTTATTGATCGTTCGATACGTTTGTTTGCTCTCTTTCCATATTGAATATTCTCTCATTTATTTCACTGTTTTTACGTATAATTTTCTATTTTTTTCAATTAAAAATTCATTCTAAAATATTCGTATCTCGTATGTATTTCGTACAAATCTTTATTTTATATAAATTAAATATTTTTAATAATTTCTCCTTATTTTTTACTCCTCCTTTCTGCTCCTCCTCATTCTTTTTCTGTTTCTTTTTTTCCTTGTGCTCCTTTTTATGCTCTTCCTCCTGCTCATTTCCTACTCCTCCTTTTTGCTCCTCTTTCCGCTCCATTTATTATATATATATATTTTAATGTAAATATTTATTTAATCTTGCATAGTTCATATGAATATTTATTCTGGATAAATTAAAAGTATTTTTTACATTTGATCCATTTCATATTCCATTTATTATAAACATTTTATCGTTTATTATTTGCATTTATATTTATTCTGAATAAATTAAATAATTTTTTTCCTATTCGATCCACTTTATACTCCATTAATTATACGTGTAAATTTATACTTTTTAATTATAAATTAATTATAAAAAGGTCACTCCACTTTCGTGCTCTGGATTCGAGATCAGAGCAGAACTTTGCTCCGGATTTATAAACAGTTTTTGGCATTGATCCATTTGTTTGCACTGTTTACTTGAACATTCGTGACATATTATAGTAATTTAATACACAAATTTATATTTATTTGATATAAAATTAACGCAGGAATTAAATTTTTCTTCGTATACTCATCATCAGCATCCTCATCCCATCGTCTTTTCCATATCAAATAATGAATGATTTTTATAGCTAAATGCTTATATTTTTATATAAAAAGTGAAAATTTTAGACCTTCTAGAATAAA